TCAGCCGCCATCGTAGATCTCTCTGGCGACTCGCCTCTTTCCGAGCTTTTTGCTGTTTTCAAAATGAGAAAGCTCGAAATCAAATTTTTCTTTCTCCTGGCTGAAACTATGACGTTTCTCTAAGTTCCGTCGTATTGGGCTGGCTATATTAAATTTCACTTTCTTCTTGCTGAAACTATGACGTTTTTTTAAGCCCCATCGTCTTGGACTTGCGATGTAATTCAGCGAGATGCCTGAAATCTCTTTTCTTCCTTCGTTTTTTTCCACTTGTTTTGTGAAACATTTGCCCATTTCGACCAACACTTCTCGATATCGTCGTATGAGGCTTTCTTTAATTTCACCGAGGAGATAACTTCGGCAAGTCGCAATCAAGGCAAGACTAGCGAAAAGATTTACAGCAATGGCTTAAAAAGATATTTCTTACTGTCGCAATTTTTGTTTATTGTTTTGTTCTAAACCAAAGTTACCATGGCAACATCACAGACTCCTTGAAACGTCTTAGCTACTTATGTGATTATGAATAATTCCTTGTTGGCGAAATAAAGGGTTCTCATGGGCGTATGTGTTCAATTAAAGAGTCTGTTAAATGGTTAGGTCTAATTTCATGCTAAGCTTTAAAAGTCAAAGTTAAAATCTTGAACTTAATCTTTGACTTGGCAGGCAACCAACGACCAATCCGTATCTCCCGATTCATAAATAAGTTTTATTTTTTTTTTAATAAAAACAAGTGAGCAGCACAAAGCTACAAATTAAATTCAACGAAACAAATCGGATTTTTTGTGCAAATCCAGCTTATTTTTGGGGCTCACGATTTAATGTTAAATCATGAGCCCCAAAAATAAACATTGCTTAATTTGTTACGCTGGATTTGCGTAACTCAACTGATTTGTTTCGTTGGATTTGCGCAACATTTCCTGTTTGCGTGTGATTTTGCTGTTCACACCCCAGTTTGATCGTAATTTATACTGTAAACGTCCAGTATATAAGTGGTTCATTTGTGAACTCGTTAAATCCCTGATGAAGTCTGTGTGATCAGACGAAACCGTTCGGATGATAAACAAAGTTGACAAGATCTGTTGCTGTGTGCTCCTCACAAATTTTATTTAAAAAATTGTTCAAAAAAATTTCTAGAAAATTGACAACCAATGACCAATTAGTATCTCCCCCCTCCCAAAAAATTCTACCACCCCCACACCCTTAGGCGACAGACAGTGGCTTTTCCCTTAAGACGATGATATTTGTTTACGAACTTGGTGTGACAACATTCGTTCTTCTTCATTGGTTCTCTGTCTCGTAGAGCTTTATTAAAACCATTGTATGAAACTTCTTTTACTTCACAACCACATCTTCTCTTCCTTGTGTTTGGGCCAAAAGAGAGTTATTAAAGTCTGAAGGTTTCAGTAACAGGTTTCATGCAGATTTTGTTGATGTTTTCTATTGTCTTTGCCGGCGTGTACTCAACGGGGTCTCGCGGAAAAAAAAAAATAATGGAATGATGCCATGCTCGGCTACAGTTGCTGTTATGACAAAAAAAGTACTTTAAAGCCGCTTCCGCGCGGTGGCGATTTTGAGAAAAAAGATAATTAACAATTATTTCATTTTTATAAAGGCTGATAGTTTCGAAAGAAACTGTTTGGGGCTGCGTCGGTGGGGGTAACGAAATAATTTGGGTACAACAAAGTTGAAATGGTAAATTGGCCACCGTAACGATTACAAAAGCTGACATTTCGAGCGTTAGCCCTCCGGGAAAATGGACGGTTCATTTAATTAATCGAAGAACTTCGTGCACAGTGCTAAATAAGTATTTCAAAACAGTAAACCATGTGATCTGCTTCGAAATTTAATTACACCCGGTGTAAAGCAATAATACTTAGCCATACTGTAGAGGGAAGGACTTGGCATCGAACCTAGAGGTCAAGCAGGTACTTGGGTTGACTTACAGTAAATTGTTAATTAGAAATCGTCTGTTGAAGTCTCAAGAGAGAGCAAACGCTTTAGATATAACTATATTTATACGGGACTTTTATGTCAAAGAGACTTATTAAACCTTGAATGCAAAACTCTTTATGAGTTGTAGACTTCAGTTTCTCGCCAAAGGCATCTATCTGACGAAAGAATTTAGGGATCTGTCTGCATTTCAATTGCCCGCCATAACTTTTCATCGTTTCATTTTGTTTCTGTGTCTTTTCCCACAGATCCTACTGATTCCTACGCTTCTGAAGTCAGGTGAAGTCAAGTGAGGTCTAGTTCCATTTTCGTAGGTTCTACGAGTGAACGCAACGATTCATGTTCAAATCTGAAGGCGAAGAATACATTGAAGGCAAACGTTTTGTGATATCGCATGATTGAAACTATAGGGAGAAAACAGGTATTTCCGTGGGTTGTTATTAATTCCTCTAAAATGGAACCTGTACTATTTGCAAACTTTATCTTCATTTTGTTGTTACTGTTGTTGTTGTCTTTTAACCTGCATTTCGTATCGACGAAGACGTACTTATGCTCAAGAAGTCACATGACCTTTTTATTGGTTTTTAAAAAATAGTTATAGAATTCTAACCCTAACTGCGTTTTGAGATTCCAAAGAGTAGCCGAACCTTTTGAAAATTGTCTTCAAATGTGCAAATCATGATTTCGTCTGCGGGCGCCCCCACTTTGAATCTTGCTTACCAACCATGCCGCTTTAAACTCGTTCATAGGGCCTTTTCCCTTTTTTGGGGGTGGAGGGGAAAATGTCCTGAGAATGAGGTGGTTCTGCTTACCTGTGACATTGAAATAGCTCACTTCTCTTCGTTTTTTCTCTCGGCACCTGCGATTGGTTTGAAAATAAATCAGAGGAACAGCTGTTTGTGAGCCGCGCGTTATGGTTTCCCGCCATTTAAGTACGTATGCAATCTCCGAGTTGATTTCGGTAAAAATCGAGTTTTCAGCAATATGAAGACAACTTTCGAAGGCTTGAGCTCTCTTCGAAATCTCAAATTGCGGTACTTAGTTAATTTCATTCACGGTTTATGATGGTAGAAAGCGAAATTATTATGGGAAGTTTGCACCTCAGAAAAGCGAGTTTTATGAAGCCGGTAGACCAATTTTGCTCCTTTTTATCAATTGAGAGCGTGCTCACCTTCAAATATGCCGCTTCATCGGTTAAAAACTGTTAATGATTTCGTCAAATTTTGTCTGATATGATGACATACTACTCCGTGAAGTCAAGTCCCAAGAGTGATTTACATGTAACTTCTCCCTATAATATCCATACATGATCCAGCAAACAGGTAATGAGAATACTCAAACTAGTTACTTATTAGGTAGAAGTTTTCCTATCGACATAGCACCAAGTTCTTGTAAGTAATTTACAAGGAAATGTGTAGAAGCAAGAGAGCGGGAGAATTAACAATCAGATCTGAGAGTTTCCAGGCTTAAAGAGAGAAAGGAGCTCCTATTCCTTTTAGGAAAGCGCCAGCCACTTCTCTTTAGAAGGCCAATGTTATTCAAAAGCTATAAAGGCTGATAGTTTCGAAAGAAACTGTTTGGGGCTGCGTCGGTGGGAGTAACGAAATAATTTGGATATATCAACAAAGTTGAAATGGAAAATTGGCCACCGTAATGATTATAAAAGCTGACGTTTCTAGCGTTAGCCCTTCGTCGGAGTGAAGAAAAAAAGCTAGCTAAAATGTTCTGTTTGTTGACAAAATTCCTTTTTTTTTTTCACATTTGTAAAACACGCTACTAGATCTAAATTGCGCTTGTTCACTTCAAACTCAGTTAAAGTGAAGTGTCACATTGAAAGAAAGAGCTTTTTAGATAGAGTCACCCGTCTTGCTATAGTGATATTTTAATTGTTTTTGGATGCAAGTTATTCACGTGTTTACCATGATGTTTACAATCAGTGTTTTCTAAAACATATAACTCCTGCGTTTCAGCTCTAAAGCTATAGGTTCGCAGTAGTTAAGTTACATTCTCAGCCTAACCGTTTTTACATCGTCAGGGTGTTTCTAACTTTCAAGTCTGTTGATTGAAGTAATAGAGATTTAACACCGCGTTTACGTGAAACGTGAACGGCAAGAGAGACTACGTGACCTTCACGGTTTTTTCCTCCATTTCCTCACGTTTACCGGTTGTGCTTTGCCGTTTCTGCGTGAAAGTAACCTGTTACGCGTTTGCCGTATATGTAAGATTTTCCTTACTTTTTCTCTCACAGAGTAGAAATGAATTGTAGGAAAAAGGGCACCAAAACTATTCCTTGTAATTCATACAAGGGCGCCTTCCAATCCACCATGACGTGAGCTCACGCGAAGCTAACGCAGTAGGGTTCACGCTATTTCACGCGAAACGTGAAAGGGCGAGCTGAAGTTTGCCCTTTCACGTAAATGCAGTGCTAAATCTCTCTAATATGTAATAAACGAATGTTTACGTGACAATTCAAATGGAGCGGGGAAGAACATAATTTAAATTATTTAATCAATTTTAGTTGACACTTTAAACCATTTGTCAGTGTCGGCATAACCGAGAACCTACTATCATTGACTACTTAAAACAGCATGATAAACATTGCCAGTGTTTTTCAAGCTGCACAGTTCGTGCCCAAGGGTTTAGCCATTCCAGTGAAAGCTACTCACGAGTAGGGTTGACTACGTGTAACAGCGTTTAGTGTGCTTTGCTAGGTGGTCGGTAATGAAGTATATGATGATGTGCGTTAATTTTAATCTGACCAATTAAGCGTTATTTTCATGTGGTACCATTCACAGAGCAGTACAGGTTGGTTCCAAGGTTATGTCAAGGTTGTATATGAAAGTTACCGAGCCTTTCTAGCATGTGGTACTGTTTATTATGATCATCATGGAAGTCGACTTTAGCTTTCAATTCGGAGGGTTCAATCTTTATTAGGTGACCGTTCAAGCGAAACTTCTGGGCCCAGTTGTCTGAAGGTCGATTAGCTCTAACCCACAGTTATATATACTTTAATCCAGGTTTCTTTGTTTCTCTACTCAAGAGTCTTTCTAGTATAATTTTCCTTATTCTTTTCAGAGAATCTAATCTTCAAACTAAACTGTAGAAGAAAAGAATTAAACTGAATTTCCCTTTAAAGCTTTCAGATCTGAAGTCAAACTTTACACAAACCTTGGGTTATCTTAACTCAGCTTTGAACAGTCCAGTCCTGTACAGTACTTTTATATATGGTACAATTCATCGACTCTTTTTCATGCCCCACTATGATGAGGTGACGCAGCTGTTTTTATGGTATGATCTACCATACTCTTTGGGGTTATTGATACAACTTTCAGAAAGTTGAAGATACAAAAAGCCAGAGAGCAGTAATTTCATGTGAAAAAGGTTTTTGTTCTGGTTTTAATGGTTCATAGATGTAGCATATATACACCGAATGCAAATATGGCGTCCAATCCATGTGATAATCCTTTTGTGTTTCCACGTGAAGACGAGGCTAGTCAGTCCAGAACTATGGCAATTCAAATTGGACGCCATATTTGCATTCGGTGTATGTAATACCGCACTATTGCAAGGTCTTTCATGCTGAGGGGATTTTGTGTTCGTATAATACTGGATTATCCTTTCGGGTACACCATATACGGCTCAATCTGTACAGTACGATCTAATTAATCACATTCTAAAACTCTTCGCATAATAGTACACCGCGTAATTAACTTCTTTTAAAGCGGTTGTTAATTGTTAATTGCGCAGACGTTGACGGGTTTGATTTCACGGTAATGCATATGTTCAGTTTTGTCAAAAGCTGTTGATAAAATGATTTGTTAGGTTACAAAGTCCAAGTACCTTGCTAAGCGCTTAAACTTGTTTTGGCTGCCATTAAAACTTCCGGCCAGTTTTATTTTTTTCCTATCTGAAATTGTTATTACACCGTAACCACTGAAATATATGCCACAAGACTGATTAATATTTATAGATCTGTTCACGTATTTTTTCTGTAATACCGGGATAAGGGCGTACGGAGATTTTAAGAACGAGAAACTTTGAACTCTGAAATCGAAATTACTAAAAGGTGCGCGGGTTAATTACAGAACAGTGTGATTAATTGTGCGCCATTTGACCACAATGACAAACGGCCAATTCAGGCCCTTGAAAGCATTGTTGGACTATTGTTTCAACTGGCGGAAGGTGAAAATTGAATCTTCTCGTGTACTCAAGGAAATCGTTTGATTTTACCAATCGATCAAATCGTTTTCCAAAGGTGTACGCCAGTGCTGCCATTTTTTCATATCAACCGAGCCTGAGATCGATTTGAAGCGAACGGATTTCTGAAAAGCAACCCAAAACAAAATTAGAAAACTGTTTTTGTGAGTATTACTTTGAACAATAGTTTAACACAAAGCTCTTCTTTCAAATCTTCAAATCCTCAAATCCTTTACCGAGGACTATCATCTACGCCAAGGTCACTCGTGGGGATCAATCTGTTTTAAACTTTAATTGTTTTGAACTGCAAATATTTCATCTAGGTTAATCGAGTCCAGCAAAGCAGTTTTCAATCTAAAATTAGTTGAGAAGCGATGAATAAGGAGGTTGAATCAATGTTTCGTCAAACGCTGTGCGGTTAATTGTTAAAAAATGTAATTTGATTCGTTTAATGGAATTTTTTATTATTTACGACCTGTAATGCGAAATTCGATGTATTTGTTGTAGCTGTGAAGTCTATAATATTATTGAATATTATAGTCCGATTTGTTAGCTTGTTTACTTAAGCTTTCGATCTAAAAATAAGTTCGTTTATTAAAATTAAAATTTTGGTTGAACTCGGAGATATTTCGAGGCCATTTACTGCGGGAGAGAAATTAACTTAATTACGGTGTCGTGATTTACACGGCCTTAGTTAGGTTCGCTTTTCATCCGTCGATTTCTCCTGACCACGGCCGTGAAGAAGTTTGTAATGAAATCTTCAAGTCCGTGTCTGCGTGAGACTTCAACATTATAGTGAACTTGAAAAACGTCTTTGTAAAGGTTTTCAATTCTAATTCGCTAGATTAGGCGCATTGTTTACCTGCAGTGTACAAGGGACTAAGCGAAAGCATGTGCCGTCGAGGTGCCTTTGTTTCAACCATGTGTCCTAAAGTGATCTTAAATTTCAACCGTGGGAACTTTTCCGCGGCCTTTTTAACGTTCCTCTTTGTCCAATCAGCAATAAGTTCCCCACCTGCCGTTGTTTTTACTACAGGGATCATAACTGCCTATTGTTTACGCAGAACTATCTTGCTTTGACGTAAAGAGACAACAAAAAATGGAGTAACCTTTTCGTGTATCGCAACATATAAACGGCACTGCGAAACACCATAAGCCGTCAAAGGGAGTGAGATTTTAAATTATATCAGTGAAAAACTGTTTAACTCAAATTGGATTCTTTCTTACGATAAAATTCGAATTATGAAAAATGCCAAAATGGTAATAATAAAAAAGACCAAACAATGGAAAAGCTTTGTTTTAAAAAGCAATTTTCCTTTCGCAGTTGCCTGGAGAAGGGCTAAGGAATATGTTTGATGGCGAATGAGATTTACATGTGGCGAGCAGCAACAATAGGCGATACAACGAAATGAAAAGACCTCGCTATATCGAATGCTAGGTCATTCAAAGCAAATAAAAGTGCTTACAAAACAATTGTTCCCTCTTGCTGAGAAATGCTTTGGTTTGCTCTTCATTCTTATGTCGCTGTAATACCGTGTCTTGGAGCCAGCTTGACTTAAGGATCACTCCTGATTGGCTGAAGAAAGCCCTATTTTGTTCCCTACCGTAAATAAAACCAAGAAAGGATCTTTTCCCTAGCTTACAAAATTCAACGTCTGGTCGTAAAATACGCTAGTCAAATATTTGCCTTCAGCTAAAAAGGATTGATCGTGTTTTCCTTGACATAATCTTTTAAGTGGTGGTAAGTGGCATTTTTCTAACTTATCCAGTGATTTCCTTTATCTTGGAAATTAGGGGTTATCAAAATTTAAAGGGTTATGGAATGTTTTTAAACCGGAGACTCTATTGCGAAATATGTTTTTTTTTTTTCTAAGAATGTACTTCCAAGATTTTTCGATGAGTTATGTATTCACTTTTTTTGTGTTTGATACTGGTTTGCAGTTGTTAAGATACAAGTTTGGGACGTCCTCCGGCAGTCGGTCCACGTTTGGTGTCATAAAACTATGGAAGAAATCGTATCTTCGAATCAGTGGTTTTTTAAGGATATCGAGAATTTCTCAGCGGCGGCGGCTCCAAGCCTTGCGATGCCGGCAGTGAACCCATCAACAAGCTGTAATGAGCAGCAGTTTTGTCGACACGAAGTTGCTAATGATCAGCCCAAGAAATCTGCCAAAAGTACCTCCCTTGAGCCACGATTACGCCGTATAAGGGCCAACAACAGAGAGAGGAGGCGCATACAAGCAATAAACGATGCGATGGAGGCTCTAAGAAAAGCTATTCCAAGCACAAACAATAAACGTAAATTGACTAAATTAGAACTTTTACGACTCGCTCAAGAGTACATAAGACAACTCTCGGAAATGCTTTGTTCAAGCACGTCTCCTTTTGAAGATGAAGTTGTAAATGTCAGTTTTTCCTACCCTGTTTACTCAAACTATTTTCCGGAGACTTGCTTCACAAATTAGAGCTTTGTTGTAAGAAATAAGTCAAGCTACGAAAACTTCATTAGTGAAACTGATAAAAATCTTCGGGGATGTGTGGTCGATGTACCTTGAGGGCTGCCGGCGTATATATATATTTTTTATCTAAATTTGTAAACAATTCAGATGCATAGGAAGTACATATGATCGAACTGCAGAGCGGTAATAAATGTAATATTTAAAAAGTTGTAAGAACGTCGATGTATAAATGGCAAGAATTGATTCAGAGTACCTTAAGCTATCTTTCGCAACATGAAATGTATAGAAGAACTGTTTGTCCCCCAAAAAACACAGTCGTAATTTAAAGCCTTTGCATCCTTATTTTATCAACTTTTATAGCTTAATTGAAGGGAACAAACAATTGTTAATCAAGTTACATCAACAGTAGACAATAAAGACAAAAAAAATTGTCATATTCTCGCACGATCCATCTTTTTTTTATGAAGTGACCTCGTTCGAGTTATTGTGTGATTATCATGAGTATCATAAACTTTGAAAAATGTTCTTATTGAGATTTTTCCACCTTGATGTGTTATTTTTCTCAAATAACATCCTCTGTTTTCTACTCCTTTAATAATCTTTTAAGAAGTTCTTGTGCAATCTCTTCAGGGATGTTTCATCCATGCAGTTTTTTCTTAATTAAAGATTGTGCTTTAAGTTTTCAATTCAAGACTTAATTAAACTCCGGGTTAATATGGTAAAAAATACCTTAAAAAAATGAATATCCTGATAAACATGTCCGTAAACAAAGATATTCTATTACTATCGATAAAATCAAGTAATTCCAATACTTAAAATTGTATTAGCACGTGGTGTTAATTAAATGTATAGCTTCCGAGTTGACAGGAATCATCAAACTAAACATCAACAGATAATAAAGAAGATATCCAAGCTTTTATCTATCGCACCCATTTCGTTTTTTCCGTCAATTCTTCCAAAAACATTTCATAGCATGATGCCCACCTTGAAAAACGCTCATGAAAAAACAAAGCCATGCGATAACTCATCTCTATTTGCTCAATTACGTTTCAAGAAAAAGAACACGTCATTCCAAACCGTTTACTTTTTTGTCTCCACGACAATTTTCTTTATTCCTTAAGGTACGCCTTTCGAACATTCAAGCAAACTCTGCTGAATTCGGTGGTTAAGTTATTTACAATACTTGCGGTTTTGGACACAAAAGCCCTCTAGGTGATGATCGATATGATTATATGTCGGTACTAGAACTGCTAAAAATAAATTTCATATTTTCTCCAATGATGTATTTATAAATGGTGACTTCGACCACGACTTCTGCTTTCTTTGAAAAAAATCTTTTTTCCTCAATTAGCTGGTGCCATCTTAGATTAAAAAGGATGTTTAAATTAACGTCCTGTTATATAAATTTTTTTTTTTAAAAAAGATACTATGATTTGAATAAAAAAAACACTTAAATTTGACCCTGTCTGTTAACTCCTCTTGCATATGAATTACTTTGACTCATTTAAAGCAGTCCTAAGTATTTAAAACACTAACGGCCGGTTAGTTACACGAGGTCGAAACCAAACCACTTTTTTTTACACAATCAGTGGCCTCAGGCTTTCTTTACAAATGGGTTGATTTGGTGAAAGAAATGTCCATCCACTGTTATCTTTTGGCCTTCTTGACGCTTATCACAAAAATAAGTGTGCCAGCGAAAGAAAAAAAGTTTCAACTAATTTTATGAAGAAAACCGACACCATGCGAGAAGATAGATCTAGGATGTAAAAAGACTCTTTTGAATGGCGTTCTTAGAACTCTTTGATGATGGTGGAAAAGGACCACAAAGGCCTTTGTTTATGTCTTCGTTCAAATTCGGTGTTTAAAGTACGCAGTTTTAAAACTGAGTTTTAAGATATTTTCCTAAGCAAATGAACCATGAAGCATATGTGTGATGCAGAATCAACACATGCTCTTTAAAAGGGGAAACGCCTAATTCAAGCGCCTGGTCCAGGCGTGTCAAACAGGTGGTATACCCATATGTGTTCCCGAGCTTTAAACTCTAGATTATCCTCAACTTGACTTTTTATAGAATGAGGCACATGCTTTAAACTTTAAACCAAGGTGTGTACAATGTTGATTCGCTTACACGCTGTGCTGTATAAAGTAATAACGCCGGTGAATCGTGCAAGGTTTTTACACCCATTTCCGGACCACGCCTTTTCCCCGCGTGTCAATGTAATGCGACGTTGGGGTAAGCACGCTGGTAGCTGACTCGATTGTAATTCTTTTATTCTCCCAAAGCGCCTTTGTTAATCACAAGAAGAGGAGAAATCTTCCGCTGGGCTATGTGGAGTGATGGATGAATCGTGCAATTAACAGCAAGGTTTGATTTGAAGTAGAACAAAGGCAGCCCTGCTGTTTTGGGGTTTTGACTTTCACGGTGCGAAATCGTGTGATCTCTGTCAGCCAGTGTCAATAAACCCTCCTTTATAAGTATGCTGCAAATGAAACTTATGTTTTTTTATAAAAACCACTCACATTTGACTAAAAAAAAAACCACCCATTTAATCTGGACTACAATAATTTCTTGGCTTATATACTTTGTGGTCTTACCACCTACACAAACAGCTGTTTGTCAGCTCTTGACATGATCTAGAAATCGTATATCAATGAATCTTAAAATTTGGTCAAAAACCAACCACCTGCCTTAGACCAACTTCACGGTACGGATTAAAGAGGGCATTTAATTTTTTTTTTTTTGTATACATGTGCGAAATTTAAAGTACTTACACCGTCACTCAACTGTTACATCTATTGTTAATACCACTCGTGTACGAAGGTTCTAGGCCGGGGGTAAAATAAAAACAAGCCCCCGCCGAGAAAGTCTTTTGGAGTGCGCTTAACTCTGCGCGAAGTTTGTTTCTTAGCTGAATGCATCTGTCCCACGGTACGACCACGTTTGGAAAAGGCGTTAGTTTGTAGCTCGGGAGCACATGGCTTATAACAAGATTACGGATAGTCTCAAGATATCGTCAAACAGTGTATGGTTTTGGGTGACGGAATGTGGTATGTTGTTGAAGATCAACTTTGCGTCAGTGTATTTGCCCATAGTGGTACCACGTCCAACGCAAGTTAAAAATTTAATTAGAACTTTACTTTATAAAAGTTCCTAGAGAAGTCTTTGTAAATAGTTCCTGAAAGGTTTAAATACACGTTGAACATTCACTGTCCGTTTAGGAGTTAACAGCTTTTCCCGCCCTTCCATTTGATTGAATTACAATTTCGATCTTTAAGATGATAGATTTTTATCGGTTTTACTCAAAGAGCGTCAAGGAATTAACGGATGTATCCTTGGAGAACGAAAGAAAGAAAAGGAAAAACAAATGTATAAGTTTCTTCAGGTATAACCTGTGCCGGCTAACTTGAATATCAATCCACAGTCCATTGGTTTAGAATTTAAGAACAGAAAACGCTTCTATTTTGATCTCAAAGATCATCCAAGTTTATTTTTGAGTCAAGATGTGCGCAAAAATAGTAAAGACAGTATCCAGGGCACTGACAAAGATATGAACTCGACAAAATCGTTGTTTGTTATGTCAAATCGCTATACATTGAAAGGAAAAAGTGTCTCTTGCTTCATCTCAAAGCATTAGAAATATCAGAGTTCCAGACAAATTAAGTTGGGGACGAAAATTTGCATCTACGGTAAAGAAAGAAAACGAACCACTTTTAACTAGTAACACGCAAATCCGTACTCTGAAAAAGCAAAATAGTAAAGTAACCTTGGAAAATAATACCGTGATACCAGTTTATTAAAACTTAAAAGCTCCACGTGCTGAATGTTCCCTTTTATTCGCTTATGCATGCGAGATTGCCATTGAAAGAACTCTACTTATTTTCTTAAACTAAAGAAAAATATTTCTAAACCAAAGACAGACCTTTTTGTGAGATTAATCTTGAAAAATTTCCGAGGCCTAGGTGATTGGAATCATACAGAATTCTCTTGTGTTCTTTTCGACTACAAATTATTTGAAAAAGACACTTAATTTGCTCTCTTTCTGAAGAAGAAGGTTTCCACTCTACATGGGCCTCCTTTTAGTTATCTTAGTATCTGTCGACTGGAAAAATTATCCATGTCTACTTAAAAAAGCATGAAATAACTGTGCAGTACAGTAATCCGCCTTTTATAAACTTTGCGGTTAACCGTGAATTGTATGTTATCATGAGTGAGGCAGGAGGCTACAAAAACAAATTAAATGAGCCCATCACCTGAGATCAAAGAACCATAAGAAATCTGACTGCCAAGTTCTTCAAAACTCAAAATAAAAGCATTATTCACATGAACAAATACTCTCTCTTGTTGGACCTAGAAAAATATAACGATATGCCTTACTTTTGAAATCATTAATTAAAGAAATTCATCTTTTGTAATTGCAAAGTATTTCATCATTGCGAAGCCTCTACACGCAATCATGGCCATAAAATCTTCACTGCATGTAAGTTTTAGAAGTTCTGAACTCAAACTTACCTTGTAAAATCATTTTTCTGTTGACAATTTAATACTGGTAAAAACTTCGGTTTTTTAGTTTATGGAAGCTTTTATGATTGCAGTGAATTCCACGTGGTAAGGAGCTGATCCAAAATCCGACAGGGCCAACTCGGATCAAAAATGATTCCTCCGATTACAGGTTTTGAAGTTTTTCGACTCATTAAAGTGTTGGAAAGTAAGAGAGACGTTTAAAAAGTTATAGCTAACTATTGCTCAAAGAGTTTATTGAACTTCAAACCGATTGCTCGAGGAGTGATTCTAGGAATATCCCGGCATTATTTTTTATTCACGTATTTTGAGACAGTTACACTCTGCAAACATTTATTAGCCGCGAAAAAGTTGCTCTTTGTCTCTGTGCGTGAACCATGATCACTGAAATACACTACGGTCCAAAATAGAATTCAATTGCTCATTCCTTTTAGAACAGAGATGAATTAGAATGACATTTAAGATATGAGAGTATTTCCTTGTCTTTTTCAAAACAAGAAACTGAACTCCATTTTCTTTTCTACACTGTCGTGTCATTTTACCTTCCTGTGTACTGCAAAAAAGTTGTCGGATCCAAAGCCACAAAAATGCAACTAGAGAAAATTACCAACAATTCAATAATAACAAACGCTCGTGCTTGTTATTCAGTTGTCAAACAATGACTTGCATCTAATAAAGAGCTGTGGACCGAATTCTGTAAAAGAAAACACGTCTTCTCGAAGCAGTAAATATGTGCTCCAAAGCTTTTCTTATTGCCCTTAAAAACATGAAAGGGTTACCTGAACTTGCACACAAACCATCCTTTAAAACTGCCTGCCTGGATAAATTTTCATTTGAGAGGTGTCTTTCATTCTGCCAAGCCATTGTTCATTTCGAAGGCAAAGTGACGAACTAAGACATTTCCGTAGAAGACACTCTAAGTAACTTTCATTTCGTAAAACCTGCTGTGTTTTCATTACGGCTTCCGTTCAAAACAACTTCTGCCTTGATTAAATTTCTTACGACATCATTCTTCCCATACAATACTTGTTTTCATTTCGCTTGAGTTGCTTCGCTACGCAAATCGACTGAGAACGCTAAACGGTACTATTTTAGGACGTTGTTTGCTTTTACGCCAAGTAAAACGGCTCTCAGAGATGGTTGAACGCACAATGCGTTTATTGTCCCAGTATAGCTAGAGGTTTGCTATCCTCTATCTTCTGGCAACCAAGTAAAAATTATGAAAACTGTACTGAAACTTCTATAAAAAATATATTTTCCGGCGGGACTCTAAGGAATTAGCGAAATTGCACCCCAGCAAAGTACAAAACAAACGCGACTAGGCGGAAAACCACAGCTGGAGTAAAATTAAAATCCAGAATGACGTGCTTTTATCCTTTTTAAAGGGACAACTGGGCAAACAATGGCGTTCATTTAGTGCTAACTTTTTAGGGCAGCTTGCCAATTAGAAGGCAATTAAAATGGATTACTTCAAAGCAATAACTCACCTTCAACTCAAGACATCAGCTCTATCGTCGGCCAGCGGTCGTAACGTTCAAGTTGTCTGGTTGTGTTAGTCTCACAGAAATGGACCTATATACTAAAACCGTGTTGGCTGAAGTCCCTTCAAAATGAAAAAATATCTACCAAATGTACAAATCACAAAAGTGAATGGTGCTTTTGTAATCATATAGGCCCAAAGCAATTAAGGATTAACCTCTCTCTTATTTTTATAGCTTGTCACAAAATTTAGAGAACCTTAATTGCATTGGAGAACTCATCGATGAAGTGAAGTGAAGTGAAAACCTTTATTTAAGGTGGCTCGTACCGGTTTTCATCTTTTTGATGGTTTGTAACTTTGAAAGAATACAACAGAAAGACTGACCAAGGCCAGTTGAACACTTTTACGGGGTTGAATTACATAATCATTGGTTATCCAAAAATAAGTGTCATTTCGTCACTAGCAGTTTCCATGGCAACGCTTTCATAGGCTTATTCAGACGCATTTTTTAGCTTGTGGCTTAAATAATTCGAAAACTAACCCGGTGACCCCCTGATTTTTTTCAGTGATTGCTTTTGGCACTTGAAAAGGAAAATGCACAAAGATTTTTAAAAAATTCTACGGAGCGGAATTTCAGAAAATCTACAAAAAGGGCAATTTTCACACATC